AAGGATGGACATGGATTTGGGATGGGATGCCAAGGGAAGGAAGGATGGACATGGATGAGGGATGGGATGCCAAGGGAAGGAAGGATGGACATGGATTTGGGATGGGATGCCAAGGGAAGGAAGGATGGACATGGATTTGGGATGGGATGCCAAGGGAAGGAAGGATGGACATGGATTTGGGATGGGATGCCAAGGGAAGGAAGGATGGACATGGATCCAGGATGGGATGCCAAGGGAAGGAAGGACGGACGTGGATCCAGGAGAACCATTCCCATTCCCGGTCCCTTTCCCACCCGTTCCCTCCATGTCCGCAGTCGGAGCTGGAGCGGCTGGAGCGGCAGGTGAAGCAGGAATTCCGGAAGCTCCACGAGTTCCTGTGGGATGAGGAGAAGGCGCTGCTGGCTCAGCTGCAGGAGGAGGCGCAGGGGAAGCAGGAGCTGATCCAGGGAAAGCTGGAGCGCCTGGAGTGGGAGAGCCACGCCCTGCTGGCCGAGGCCGGGATGCTGCAGCAGGAGCTGCTGCTGGATGATCACACCTTCCTCAAGGTGAGGGATTCCTGGGATAACATCCCAATGATCCCACTGATCCCACTGATCCCATCCATCCCATTGATCCCACTGATCCCAACATTCCCACTGATCCCACTGATCCCATCCATCCCATTGATCCCATCCCACTGATCCCACCCATCCCATCCTTCCCACCCATCCCATGATCCCACCGAGGCCGGGATGCTGCAGCAGGAGCTGCTGCTGGATGATCACACCTTCCTCAAGGTGAGGGATTCCTGGGATAACATCCCAATGATCCCACTGATCCCATCCATCCCATCCATCCCATCCATCCCACTGATCCCAACCTTCCCACCCATCCCACTGATCCCACTCCTTCCTCATGGGAAAGCCTTTCCCAGGATCCCATCCCATCCATCCCACTGATCCCACACATTCCTCATGAGAAAACCTTTCCCACACATTCCCAATGGGAGAGCCTTTCCCGGGATCCCATCCCACACATTCCTGATGGGAAGGCCTTTCCTGGGATCACATCCCACTGATCCCACACATTCCTCATGGGAAAGACTTTCCTGGGATGACATCCTAGAACCCCACACATTCCTGATGGAAAAGCCTTTCCCAGGATCCCACTGATCCCACACATTCCTGATGGGAAAGCCTTTCCTGGGATCCCATCCCATCCATCCTACACATTCCCCATGGGAATGCCTTTCCTGGGATCCCATCCCATCCATCCCACACCTTCCCCATGGGAAAGCCTTTCCTGGGATCCCATCCCACACATTCCCAAAGGGAGAGCCTTTCCCAGGATGCCGCCCCAGGCTCTGGAATCCCTTGGGATGGGCGGGATCTGATTCCCAACATCTTCCCTCTTCCCTTCCAGAGCCACAGGAGCCGCAAGCGCAGGTGGGTGCCGCTCCCGACGGGAATTCCGGGGATGGAGCCCTCCCCTGGGGGGGATTTTGGGATGGCTGAGCCGCCCCTTGGCCCATCCCTGGGGATTTTTGGGAATGCTGAAACCCCTTGTGTCACCTTCTGGGGGTTTTTGGGATGGCTGAGCTCCCCTGGGGGTTTTTGGGATGGCTGAGTCCCCCTGGGGGTTTTTGGGATGGCTGAGCTCCCTTGGGGGGTTTTTGGGATGGCTGAGCCCCCCTGGGGGATTTTTGGGATGGCTGAGCCCCCCTGGGGGGTTTTTGGGATGGCTGAGCCCCCCTGGGGGGTTTTTGGGATGGCTGAGCCCCCCTGGGGGGTTTTTGGGATGGCTGAGCTTCCCTGGGGGTTTTTGGGATATCTGAGCCCCCCTGGGGGTTTTTGGGATATCTGAGCCCCCCTGGGGGGTTTTTGGGATGGCTGAGCTCTATTTGAGCTCCCTTGGGGGGTTTTTGGGATGGCTGAGCCCCCCTGGGGGGTTTTTGGGATGGCTGAGCCCCCCCTTGGCCAATCCCTGGGGATTTTTGGGAATGCTGAACCCCCTTGTGTCACCTTCTGGGGGTTTTGGGGATGGCTGAGCTCTATTTGAGCTCCCCTGGGGGTTTTTGGGATGGCTGAGCCCCCCTGGGGTGTTTTTGGGGTGCCCAGGATGGCGTGCACGGTGGGGGAGCCCGAGGCCGTTCCCTGGGGGGTTTTTGGGGTGTCTGAGCTGTATTTGAGCTCCCCCGGGGTGTTTTTGGGGTGCCCAGGATGGCGTGCACGGTGGAGGAGCCCGAGGCCGTTCCCTGGGGGGTTTTTGGGATTTTTGGGATGTCTGAGCCCCCCCGGGGTGTTTTTGGGGTGCCCAGGATGGCGTGCACGGTGGAGGAGCCCGAGGCCGTTCCCTGGGGGTTGCTGCTGAACGTGCCCCGGTACCTGGGCTCGCTGCAGTTCAACGTCTGCAAGAAGCTGCTGGGCAGCGTCACCGCCGGTGAGCGCCCCCGACAGGCTCTTCCCAAAAAATCCCGCCTCTTCCTGGCAAAAAAATCTCACCTCTTCCCAAACCTTTCCTTCCCAAACCTTTCCTGCAATCCCAGCTCTTCCCGGGCGTCTTCGCAAGCCCTTCCCGAAAAATCCCGGCTCTTCCTGGACCTTTCCCTCAAAATCCCTGCTCTTCCCAAGCCTTTCCCACATCCCAATTATTCCCTGGCCTCTCCCACATCCTGTCTCTTCCCGAGCCTTTCCCTAAAATTCCCTGCTCTTCCCGGGCCTTTCCTGATATCCTGGCTCTTCCCAAGCCTTTCCTGAAAAATTCTGGCTCTTCCCAGGCCTTTCCTGCAAAATCCCGGTTCTTCCCAAGCCTTTCCCGCAAAATCCCAGCTCTCCCTGAGCCTTTCCCATAAAATCCCGGTTCTTCCTGAGCCTTTCCCTCAAAATCCCAGCTCTCCCTGAGCCTCTCCCGCATGCCAGTTATTCCCAAGCCTCTCCCACATCCCAGTTATTCCCTCTCCTTTCCCACATCCCAGTTATTCCCTCTCCTCTCCTACATCCCAGTTAT